AACAGAACACTGTGGGAGAAGATAGCTGAGTACGGGCCTACGTTTGAGCAAGACTTAAAACAGTTTCAGGGTAAACTACAAGAAACAGTGAAAGAGTGTATTGACCCATCAATAATGAATACTAAAGATAGACGGGAAAGAAAATATGTATTGAAAACTACTGCATCTAAGAAATGTTTAAAAATGTCGTTTGATGATAGTCATTACACTAGTATAATACGAAAAAAACAACTCAAAACTAATGATTAGTTTGTCTTGTGACAGCTTTATCTTTGATTAGGTTTTTCAGTAGGCCTAACAACGCTCTCTTTTAGTCCGCAAATCTGTATATTAATATATAGTATCTGTATGTTAATATTTCTATATTATGCACTATTTAGTACATGCCCAGGTATTAGAGAATCTACTGCCAACAGTTTACGTTCATTATGCAATGAATCGTACATTCAAAAGATTGATAAATATTACATTATTCATACAGAATTCGAACCCATGATCATGATCACGCGCTACCTACCTTGCTGCAGTGACTGTGTCACAAAACCCGATTATAAATGGCGTATAATGAAAACCGCCCGCAGCGACAATACGTTAATGCACGCGAAGTCGAATCTCGGACATCACAAAGAACATGTATAACTATGTAACATTTACTCACTCACTCACTCACTCACTCAGTTTGTAATTTTACTTTACATTGTTTCACTTATTTAATTGTATCATTATATTTCTTAGACATGTAGACACTTTCTGTGTATAAAGCTAGGCGGGGACATGGACTATTTCCGTGTCCCTCACCAGTTGCATTCCTGCAAACAATATTTCATATCTTCACATAATACTTTGTATATGTATTTCTGTACATTAGTATTGATTTCATTTATTTTCTTAAGTTACTGGTGAAATAAAATTTCAATTCAATTCAATCAAGATTTAGTTTATAATCCTTTTGAAGTTTAGCTATTTTAACTATTTCACCAGCACACACCACATCTTGCCTAAATTATTCTGCAATTTTATTTTATATGTTCTGCAATATTTCCGGAAATGAAAAAAATTGCGTCAATTTTTATTTTTTACTGAAAAAAAGTTCTTCGTAAGGAAAGTGCATATAACTGGGACAATTTTGTGAATTTTTGAAGTCAATAGGAAAATGGTTTTGAAAAGGCTATAATACGATGTAGATTATATACGTACGTCCATCGAGACCATACAAATCTCCACTTTTAATCGGTATGCCTCAATGCCATTTTACTCTCAAGTTGCCTTTCTTGACGAAAATATTTTCTTGAATTCTTTGTATTATAAACTGTGCGAATGACATTCATCTTCGTTCAGTGCACCATTCGGAAAGAGTTTTTGCGAACCCCTATGCTTAACATTTCTCCCCGATAATTATACCTTTCCTGACGAGGAGTATATACAATTTAAAGGATGGGGAGCAGGGTTTAGATTAGAGTTATGATTGAGGGGTTCCTCGGAAACTCTTACCAACTATTCATATCGTCCCCTCTATGGCATAAATATGTGTCAGAAATGCCGTTCAGTTTCCATATTCTGTTGATGTCCAGTCGTCCGTCAAATAGTTTTTTGGGGAAATTTCTTTGTTCTAAATTAATAATGACTACACAGATATTTGAACGATAATGGTTACATCAAAATATAAGGACGATACAACCATCATGTAGACATCTAGTGTGAGTGCGTACATTTTCTGTGGCTCATTCGGTTATTGTTTCAAAATGTCAAATAGTCTCCTAGAACTGTTATTCACTTAGATGATCACTAAGCCCAGTGTGCTATTCTACCATAAAACACCCGGACAGCGACAATGTGAAATCGCGCCCTCTATTGTTGTAAACTGCACGACTATATTGTTTAATCGGCATCTCCAGATGTTACAATAGATTAATTAAAACCTACCAAACACGATTAAAAGTCCGAGCACATAATACGTTCCGATGTTAACTGTTTTGAAGTGTGGAAACAAAATCAAATATTTATATTCTGAAAGCTTGTAAGAATGCATATATCTTGATAGTAATTGAACGATCTAAAATTGTTGCTTGAATAAACACAGAGTTTACAACTGTTTGTGTTTGACACTTTAAATTTGATCAACGACACGACAATCTTATTATGATTATATTTGAAAGTCAATCATGTAATTCTGTCCCGCATTTTTATTAAACCTAATAGAAATATAGTTTAAAAGAATGACATTTAAACTTCCAATCGAATCATTCATGTTCGTAAACTACAGCGTTATGAATGTCACAATCAAAAAGTGTTTGCGATTGGTAAACATTCGCTGTGATTTAGAAAACGCAATAGAGAAAACAACATTTCCATAACGGCATCTTGCATAGCTTTGATTCTGTCACTGCCCCAACTCCAAAAATACTTGTGGAAAAATCACCAAATCTTAGCTTCCAAAGTACTGCAAAACTGTTAGTGTGAAACTAATGTTGCATTTATCTATATACATTCAGTAAGGGTGAACGTCAGAGTTTGGTCTAAAGTACGACATTTTAAAAAGGAATGGTTTAGGTAAATTACAGATTTGTTTTATAGAAGCTGAATTATATACTCTGCGGCTAGTATATTTATTGTATTCCTTTTAGAATATTGTGATTTTTGAGTTTGGGATGGGTTTACCAAACTATTTAAATTAATATTATGCAGGATACACTCAAGTAGGTTATACAGTATCAGATAATTCTTGTTGAGAAACAACATGACAATGTAATGAACTCTTACCGTCTGTTTCTCTCAACACATTACCGCAAATATGTCAAGACATGATAGTTTATTAAAGTTTATTCAAATTTGTCGATGGAGTATCAACACTCATACTACAATATGACCCTTATAAATCCATTACATACATAAGATTTTGCAGTTTATTTGGGTAAAGCAGTTCCTGGGCTGCCCAGCCGAGCTGACATGCAGTTACTACAGTATCTACTGTCTTAGTACACGCTGGAAAACTTGGTCACATGAGTAAATGTTAATTTAAGAGAAATGCCCCACCCATCATCTTGCCTAGTTACTGTCTGATACTTGACTATACGAATAACGACTTCGCGTTAGGGTAGATGTCTACTCATGATTTCAAAAACCCAGAATTTATTCATCTTACAATAAAATGTCGTTCCGAGCAATATAATAGTGTCCTAAACATGTTGTGGGTAATCAGCTAAATTTTTGAGTTCATGGTTGTACTTAAGTGGCCATTTTGTCAGTATTATATTGCTTTTACCAGTGGCAGTGTTAATATGTCATGTCTTAAATTGTAGGCTGGTGATTCAGGCTAAACAAATGATGGGGTACTTTTTTTTGTTCTCAATTTTTTTCAAAAAAACTGTTGTTTAAGTGGCAAAAACTACATTTTTTTAACATTGTGCTGTATGGAATTATTCTAATAATAGCGATTTTTGAAAAATACGTCAAAATACGTCACTGTAACAAACAAAATAATACTATTTCATGATGAGATGAGGCAATTGTCGTGCGAATTTTGATGAATTCCTTAATAATACCCTGTACACGGAGTAGTGTTGTCAGTTCTTCACACGAACTATGCAGATAAGACGATCAATAGGTAAAAACGTCGCTGGTATTGGTGACGTGAGAATAGATATAGATGCATATTGTCACCGTGAATGTTTGTTTGTTTATTGAATGTTTGTTTATTTGCCATAGATTACATAAAAGAATAACAATACAATAATAAATAATAACTACTAAATATTAATAAATAATAATAATATTAATCTATGGCTGGGAAACAGAAAATAGCTCATGCAGAGCTAGTTTAGTCTGTTTCCCATCAAAATATATTTTAAATAGCTATTTATTAAAATAAATATTAATAATGTGATTCGGTCGAGAGCGTGAGAACTACGAATTTTGTTTTTGTTCCTCAAGTAGGTCAAGTTCTCTTCAGCCGCCACGCCAACAGTTCCAAATATCTTATAGATATTATACTGCTCATCTGGATGATTTTACTTTCGATTTACTTCCATCAAGTGACTGAGAAAACGCATCAAAATATGGAGTACAGGTTAACGGGAACCATAGTGCGGCCAGAAACTTCTAGGTGTTGTGGCGTAGTGGTCGTAGTGGTGGTGTTATCCTGAGGAAAATTGTATGTGTTACGAGATAGATGTTAATACACAAGTCCAACGACGGACATCACAAACAACGTATATAGCTATGTAGTTAACGTTCCCATGCAAGTTAGTTACAATAGATCTAGAAATAATTACTTGTCTGGGCTGTGATTTAGTTTGACAGCGTCAAATCAAAGACATGCCATATAAATATTTATCAATTTGCAAAATAATTTACTCCAAAAAGTATTGATCACAAATAATTGATTATATACGTTCACTACGAGATCTCGTGTTTTGCAGGAAAGGCATATTGTGTTGTGGTACGGACCGAGTATAATCTGCAAAAATGATTTAATTTTAAATAAAAAAAAATGTCATAGCTAAATGTCGAAATGCAGATTTTTGAAGGGAAAATATTGTGTTGAGATAACCCTACCTCATCAAAATAGATCATGATCGAATGTGTATAGCACATTATTAAATGTGGATATCCCTGATAATTCTTTCGCGTTTGTCGAGCCCCGCGTGATGTTTGACGCCACGATGAAGCTAGGACCGATGTTTGCCCTGCATTTTTGTTTGAACTCATAACAACACATAAATAAATTATAATATACCTTCACTTTTGCACAAAATTGTAAGTACATTCTCAAAAACCAGCCAATATGCAGCAGCAGCATCATGTCGTGAATGAACCAATGGAACTGGCTGTCCGTAATTTATATTAGTCATCCAATCTA